TTTTCCCTTTAGCTTTAAAAAACGTTTCTATAATGGTTTCTTAAACGTTATTTTATCGGAAAAGAAACGTTTCATCTAACGTTTTTCCGAATGGACATTTTAACTCATGAGAAACGTTTCTAAAAATCGGTTATAAAACGTTTCGGAAAAACGCTTCTAAAACGTTTTTGAAACGTATATGTGCTACTTGGGAAGGAATTTAGGGGAGTCGCAAGAAATTGCAGTCAGGAGACTTCGTGCTCTTAATAGAAAACTCGACGAGCAGCCAAGCTTAAAACTCCAATATACGACGTTCATGGACGAATATTTGAAACTCGGTCACATGACCGAAGTCACCGAGTTGCCATCCCCTGAAACGCCTCATTACTTCATACCACACCGTGCTGTTGCAAAGGAATCGAATTCAACCTCGAAGTTTCGAGTGGTATTCGATGCCTCATGTAAGACGTCATCTGGAAAATCACTTAACGACATCCTCCGAGTTGGACCAACAATTCGACAGGATCTATTTCACATTGTCACTCGCTTCAGACAACATAGATTCGTATTATCAGCCGATATTGAAAAAATGTACAGGCAAGTCAGGATAAAACAGGATCAGCGTCGCTTTCAACTCATCGTATGGAGAGCCGACACTGATCAACCAATCAAGACCTATCAGCTCAATACCGTAACGTACGGGACCGCAATAGCTCCATTCTTGGCAATCCGGAGTTTGCACCAATTGGCCTACGAGTGCGCCAACGAACACCCTATCGCTAGTCAAATCATTTTACATGATTTTTATGTAGATGATTTGTTGACAGGTGGCGATGACAGTTTTCAACTTCAAGCGATAAAGGAAGACCTCGAACAGGTATTACGCTCAGCTGGGTTTCCATTGCGCAAATGGACTTCCAATCTCCCCGACCTGATGGGAACCTCCCCAGAATACATGAATATTGATAATTTCATTGGTGATGAGGTCCGCACACTCGGATTGGTGTGGAATCCAAACAGAGATTCGTTTCATTATCGTGTAAGCACATTCAGTGGAATGTCACGATGTACAAAGAGGAGCATTCTTTCAACGATTTCACAGATCTACGATCCACTGGGGCTCATCGGACCAGTATGCATCAAGGCCAAGATTATCTTACAAGAATTATGGAAACTAAAACTCACGTGGGATAAATCATTACCAAGTGATTTCCATAAAATATGGAAGCAATATTATGACCAGTTAACATACATTAATGACGTATCTATTCCTCGGAGGGCGATATGTTCAAATCCTCTGCGAGTCGAATTACACGGCTTTTGTGACGCGTCCGAGACCGCATATGGCGCATGTATTTACATCCGATCCATCACGACAGATGATCGAGTCACTGTACGATTGCTTTGTGCCAAGTCGCGAGTAGCACCTCTTAAAACGATTACGATTCCAAGACTTGAACTCTGTGGTGCTGTTTTACTCGCTCGACTGACTCAAAGAATATCCGAATCTTGGACTCGTCCAATCGATGCAAAATATTATTGGTCAAATTCACAAATCGTACTCAGCTGGATCGCAGGGGAAGCTAGTGAGTGGAAAATATTTGTGGCCAATAGAATTTCAGAAATCCATGACTTAACTGAGAAGGACAATTGGAATCACGTACGGTCTGCAGACAACCCCGCGGACATCATATCTCGAGGTAGTACTCCAAAGGATCTATTAACATCCAATTTATGGTGGAACGGACCGTCATGGTTAGCAGAATCAACCGAAGAATATGGTGGTGAATCCACGCAAGTCATTGATCAAGACATCAGCCAGGCCATCACACTAGAAGCGAAGCCACCAGTATCGGTTCTCACCACTACGATCATCGATTTCGATTTATTGAGCCGATTCTCGAGTCTTCGAACATTGAGACGAGTAGTCGCATACTGTATACGTTTCATGCACAATGCCCTCCATCCAACACAACGCAGAAGTGGATTGCTGTCAGTCGAAGAATTACGTCAAGCAAATGTAACCATTTTGAAAATCAGTCAAGCGGAGTTCTTCACACCAGAATTGAACAACTTGCGCAAGAAGACTCCAGTCTCATCAACCAGTAAGTTACAGTCTTTGTTCCCATTTGTGGACGCTGACGGACTCATCAGAGTTGGAGGACGATTGAGACACTCGGATCTCCCAGAGACACAAAAGTTTCCCGTGGTCTTAGCATCTAACAGTGCGTTCACTAAACTTTTGATTCAAGACACACATGTCAAACATTTACATGCCGGGCTACAAGCTCTCTTAAGTATACTTTATGGCCAATACTGGATTCTATCGGCCAGATCCACTGCCCGTAAGGTGCTGCACAGATGCATAACATGTTATCGACTGCGTCCGAAACACCTTCAACAAATCATGGGCGATCTACCTTCCGTTCGCGTTCAGCCTAGTCGCGCATTTTTAAATGTAGGTGTCGATTACGGCGGCCCTTTTAATATAAAGATCTCACGAAACAAAACTAACAAGGCATATTTATGTTTGTTCGTATGCCTAGCCACGCGGGCTATTCATCTAGAGCTCGTATCGGATTTGTCCACGAGTGCATTCCTTAACGCGTTGAAACGCTTTATAGCACGTCGCGGCAAATGTATTAACATATATTCGGATAATGGTTCTAACTTCAAGGGAGCAAATAACGAGCTTAAGGAATTAGCAAATCTACTCTTAACTGACGCTCATCAACGATGCATACTCGAGTATTCCGCTGACAATTTTGTGAAATGGCATTTTATACCCCCACATGCTCCCCATATGGGTGGAATCTGGGAGGCTGGTATAAAATCAGCCAAAACTCATCTCAAAAGAATTCTAGGCAACGCGTTGCTAACCTTTGAAGAATTTTACACACTCACAACTGAAATCGAGGCGTGCTTGAACTCAAGACCTATGTCTCCAATGTCCCACGATCCTTCTGATCTATCTGCTTTGTCTCCCGGACATTTTTTAATTGGAGCACCATTGACCAGTATACCCGAACCCGACCTATCAGAACTCGCATCCAATCGCCTCACCCGATATCAGTTGTTAGCAAAACTTCAACAACATTTCTGGAAGCGTTGGAGCCGCGAATATCTCACGCAGTTTCAGGCGAGAACAAAGTGGAAGGAGGAAAGGGCAAACAAAGCGTTACAAGTAGGAACGTTAGTTTTGATAAAGGACGATAATATACCGCCACGTCAGGAAGCGATGTGCAAAATCCGAACGGCAACCTCCACGTACACATTGGGTTACGCTGATGTCGACGGTAATGAACGAAAATACAAGGGTTACTTCAAAAAGCA